CATTAACGTCAGGGATCCGTTCTAAACGGCATCTGCGCAAAGTACGAAAATTGTTGCATCGCCCCTTTAAAAAGCCTCTGACACACACACACACAAAAAAAAAATATATATATATATATATATCATGCTAGGCGTTGAAATGGCATATCAGGACATTACAAAAAAATTGTTTCACTATAAAGTTGCGTTTTTTTGTTTTTTTTAATAAAAAATAGAAATACGAGGCCCAATTCAAAGTTCCGCCAGTGCACTGTAACGTAACAGTGTACCGCAAGGTGTCGAGGCGGTCAGAAGGGAGGCATCGACCTACGTCACTAAAAGTGGGTTCGCAGGAAGTCACGTGAGTTTCACTCCTCGTGCTCTCCGCGACCGTGCCTAAGACATTTTTTTTTCTGCCCTTTGTACGAGCGATTGTAGAAAACGAAGTTTCAGTTCCACTAGCTCTTTATCGCTGCACCGTTGGTTAGTTTGCGTGCTGTAAAAGTTGAGGAAAAAGAGTCAGTAAGGTCAATGATGAAAGCGTTGCGAGTACAAGCCAGTGTACGAGTGCATGCCGACAGTTCGATGATACAGAGCTATACTGGGCACAAAACAAGCTATCAAGTTTTGAAAAAAAAAAAAAAAAAATTAGAACGCTCGCAGAAATTAGGATTGCTAGCGGACGACACGCCCGATCGCCTTGCTGGAGGTTCAGACACCGAGGTCTGTGAATCATCGGATACTCTACAGCTGAAGATGCCTGCCGTCTAAAGAATACGAACTGGTGAGTGTACCAAGTACAAGTAAACGTCAAGCATAAAGTACGTGTTTTGTCTAGAACATGAGTAGAACTTGTTTACTAGGTGCACATGCAGCCGACGCGTCGTGATGCCTGAATTCACGCCTCTTGAGTGCCGCTGCTGCAGGGAGATGGGCAGAAAACTTACAGACCTGCAGTTGAGGTCTCACATCGAGACCTGTGAGTTTTAGTCATACTTCGCCTAGGGTTGTAATCTTCATCACCAAAGTGCATCCAGCATATCCCCATCGCCTACCCACAGACTCTAATAGCTGTCCTGCGGGAACCGCAGTCAGCCACCGGTCCATCTCTTGTATGTCTCTCGGAAATGCATGCAGTGTGATCTCTTCTTCAGTTGCTGAAATACCGGGACAGACCCTCACACAGCACCTTCTAGGCATTGTGGTTGATCACGTCGATTCACTGACTCCTCTTCTTCTACCTTTACAGCAACATTAAGCGATGAAAAGCAAATAAAATTAACCTTGTTTGCTTGGATCGCTCGGGCAGGTGCGGAAAATAACAAAATATATATATATATATATATTACACGCGCTCGCGGTAAGGACGAAGAGGGACACAACTCACGTGATTTCCGGCGATGCCTCCCTTCTGACCGCCCCGACACCTTGCGGTACACTGTTACGTCACAGTGCACTGGCGGGAACTTTGAATTGGGCCTCGTATTTCTATTTTTTTTATATATGAAAAAAAAAAAACACATCTCTATAGTGAAACAATTTTTTTTTTTGTAATGTCCTAGTTTGCCTTTTCAACGTTCAGCATGAAAAAAATATATATATATTTTTTTTTGGCGTGTCAGAGGTTTTTTAAGCTACTGCTTTCAGTTATAGGTTTAGGAAACGTGAACTTTACTTGAAGTGTATCCTGTGAGTATGCAATTATACTTTTTTTTTTTTGGGAAAGTATAAGCCCCGACTTTAACGTATACATTCACCAAATTTGGCCTCGTTGATTCTTTATGACAAAATGATGCTTTGCTAACTCTGAAGAAATACTGAGAGGAATAGTTTACTCTCGCCCAGAACCGCGAGCAGACGACCCATCGCTCCGTTTGTAACCCCCTGGGGCGACGCCGCGACGCCAAATTCTTAAATCGGAGGGAGATGGGGGTATGATGTTGGAAGACTCGCAGAGCTCACGAAAAGCACGGGGACGAGCGACGAAGATTAGAACAATGCCGTCTCACGCTCGGGGAACTTTGGCTGAGATAAATGAATTTAGATTGATCGTATTGGCGTGCGGTCGTGTATCACTGCTGCGTGATGCACGTTAAAGACCCCAGGCTAGCGGTTGTACCGCACTGGCTAAATTTCTCATCTACAGCTGGGAGACTCGTCGCCCCTGTGAGGCAGACCAAGTTCTAGGCTGTATAAACAGAAACACAACCCAATTTTTTTTTTAAATTTAGATTGGGATTTTACTAGTAGCATATCGTTGAGTGGACCAAGAGAAGGAGGGCAGAAAGTAAAAAAAGCCTGCTTTTCGGTAGGAAAATGTGAAAATATAGCGGACTATTTCGTATACCCCTTTTCCTTCGAAAGCTCTCCGCACTGTGATACATCCGCGGCACCCAAAGCGCGTCAGCTGGCCCCAGCTCAACCCTATGCTGACATTGTGGTGGAAGCTACGCGCTTGCCGGACCAATCAGCCGCCTCCCTTTCATCACCTGACCCCATTCTCTGCGCGTGGGTATGCGCGAGGGAGCGTGATCACGTGGCAAAAGATAGAAGTGTGACTGGCATAACAAAGCTTCCGCATCACTGTCAGCTTAGGAGTAAACGGAGGATAGTTGTACGCAGTAGTGTGGAAACCACGGGGCTGGAAAGGGGGGGGGGGGGGGGGGGGAGCAACTGTTGTCCGAATTTTGAGCGACGGCCTGATCTTCTAGGGGAGGTCGCATATGAAAAATCACCAACATGTAACTAAAACAAAAAAAAAAAAAACACACACACATAAAAATGGCGTATTGTCATGTGAAGAGTGCTATCGTCTTTCGAGACGTAGTCTGGTACTTTCTCTGAGCGAAGTAATGGCGACTATGATAAGACCGATACAAATAAGTGCCTTATAAGTCGATTATGTTAAATAGTTGGTCAGCGAGAGTAAAAGAACTACTCTGCGGCCACTTGATTTTATCCAATATTCGCCGCCACATCTGAAAATAGCTGATGCACCCCAAATTACTCCCAAAAGAATGCATGTCAATTAAGAAAAAAAAAAAAAATGTACAGCGGAACGAAAGGGCATTATGAAAGATTGTGTGAAAAAGTACTTGCATGTTTTTGTTATGTTGTCTATATGTTTACAATGCCGGAAGTTAGTCAGTTCCAATGGGCGTCTTGTCTCAGCTGTAGATGAGCAATTTAGCCAGTGCAGTACAACCACTAGCCTAGGGTCTTTAACGTGCGCTGCGACGACCGCACGCCGCGGTACGATGCTCATCCAGATCGAAACGGGCAGGGGTGGGGCTCGAACCCGAGATCCCTGGGTTCTGCAGCCCGAGCCTTCTTTCGCTCCGCGTGCCCCGAGCTGGTGTGCGTTAGCCCATTCGGCCCGAATCCGGCCGATTCGTCGAAAGTCCATTGGTCGATGGACAACCCGAAGGAGGGCAATTCGTCGAATAGGGCAATTCGCCCTATGCCAATTCGCAGAACGGAGACTTGGGCGAAAGTGACCGTTCGTCGAACGGTCGAAAAGAGTTGCACAGGGTGCCTAAAGTTACCCGGGGACGTTGGGGTCAATAATGGGACCCTGTTCGCAAAAAGAAAAAGTAAAGGATTACGAATTCAGTTCTCAGAATTTTTCAAGGGTCCGGTAGTGAATCGTAAAAATTAGGGTCGTTCAAAATTATAAAAGCCGGGCTCTGCGTGAAGGGGTTCACTCGACTCTATCATCATGGAATTTGGGAAGACAGAGCGAAGGGCTAATCTCCTGATCCTGGATGGTCATATGTACAGTTGTAATACGCGTACAGGCAACACCACCTTGCTGCTGGTATAGCCACCACGGCGTACTGGATTTCTCAGCCAAAGAAAAAAAAAAAAGTCTACGGGGGTATACGTTCGCTAACAACCTCGATGGCACGACTATCGCAAGAAGACAATAAAAACTGCTTTCGCTATTATTCTTTCCACAATTTCGTAAAGACAAAATTTGTACGGAACTAAAAAAAGCTCACTTGCAATTATTTTTTTGTTTCACCTACGTAATTCGGCGTCATATAGTAACAAATATACAAAAAAGCTACGCCGAGGAAGCAGTTTATGTTTGTAAATCGTCGCTCTTTTTCTCAATGTCGATAATCACATTTGCATTTGAAAGTCGGCGAATCGTGGTGAGACTTCCTTCTAGGCTTTGAAAACACATCACTCCAACTTTGTTGTAGTTCTTTCGACGAATATTTGTGCAAACGGGCCACTTCGACAAGTTTCCCGTTTGACGAATACGCCTAGTGCGAATTACCCCATTCGACGAATTGTCCGTCTACCAGTTGTCCGTCGACGAATGGGCTTTCGACAAATTGTCCTGGACCCCACTCGGTCACCTCTGCATCATCTGCACCTGGGCGCCGCCTTAACCAACCTTCAGTTTTTGTTTCCTTTTATTATACGCATACTTGTTCATCATTACCGTTGCAGGCCAGGGGGGCTATGTTGCGCTTTTTGCACTCCCAGGAGACTAGGGAGAGGGAAGTGACGTCAACGACACAGCAAACGCAGATTGGGTGTTGATTTCGTTTTTTTCTGTCAACATCCAATCTGCATTTGCTGTGTCGTTGACGTCACTTCCCTCTTCCAAGTCTCCTGGGAGTGCAAAAAGCGCAACATAGCACCCCAGGTCATTGCCATTGTAGATTTTATGGCGCCCTCCCCCACAGCATTGGCCTTTGTGGAGGCTCATCAACGCCCGTTTCAGTGGCTCGGTATCTCGGCAAGACAAGATAAGGTCAGGCATTATTTGTCGCTTTGTAAAGCAAGCAAAGCACGAACGCTGAAAATGCACCGGCCATGCAAAAATGTTTCTGTATTATGTTGTTGTTTTTTTTGTTTGTTTTTTCCAGCCATTTTGGAAGCAGGGAACGTAATGAAAAAAAAAAATATATTCATTATTTCTAAGTGACGAATGCGCACCAGTAAACTAACAAACCTGCATATCATTCAATATTACCAGCCTGCATATCATTCAATATTACACCAAAATGAGACACGTGGAAAGAATAAAACGGTCGCTATGCGGCAAGGAAGACGAAGATGACGCCATCTGGGCCTGGCCCTTCTTACTATGGTGGGTAGACCAGCAGACCC